TACTCTGGACATGCACAAAAAAACAAAAAATATGGCAGTGTATCTGTCCATGTTCTAGCGGAAGATTCACTCTTGCTTTGCACATTTTGAGATTAATAATGGAGCGAGGCCCAATGATTCATCAACCGTATTCCCGATTTATGCCTTGCCCCAGGTTCTACTGCAGGGGTATGATTTGAAGAAAAAAAATCAAATTGGATTTACACGATTCTATAGAGAACAAGAGATTTTTTTTTAAGTCAGTAACTTTTCTCTTTTCTTTTTCTTTCATAGAGTCAGTGATTCTTCCCCCTGAGTCTCCCCCACAAAAAAAAGAAAGAAATAAAGAAAAGAGAGGTGTCTTCTCCCCATCTCATGGGAGTTGTATTATTTCAATTTATTTGTCGTTTTTTGTGATTGGAATTTGCTTTGTGTGCGTTCAGGGCCCTCCACGCCCCTCAGGAAAAAAAGAAAAAAAAAAAAACTTGTCAACCCCCTCAGAGATGAAGGCATCTCGGGGGATGCCGCTAGCTGTCGCAAATCGATTGGTAAAGTCAAAGGCTGCTGCTACTGCTGCTGCTGCCGTTGCGAGTGCCTCCCACGACTCCTGAGGAAACTGAACGAACAACAACAGAGATGAAGATGGCCTCCTGGCGAACGACACCAGTTGGAAAAAGATGGGATGATGTAAAGCCAAGCGTTCCAGCAACATCAAAAGCTGTTGAAGGCAATGAAATCAATCTTGCAGAACATCCGCCAAGGACTGCTGACGGCAACGGTCGTGGCGTTGGAAGAAATGCCAACAACAAAGAGGTGTGCAAAGGTGCAAAGGGGGATGGAGAGCATCATGGGAAGGAGGAAAGCGAACATGCCGCGAAGGATGGTCATAAAAATTTTGTGAAAGAGCAGCAGCAGTTGCAGAAGCAGCAGAAGCAGCAGCAGGGGCAGCAACAGCAGCCGAAGGTGCAGCAGCAGCAGCAGAAGGTGCAGCACCAGGAGCAGCAGAAGCAGCAGCAGAAGGAACAGCAGCAACAGCAGCAGCAGCAGACGCAGCAGAAGCAACAGCAGCAGCAGCAGCAGAAGCAACAGCAACAGCAACAGCAGCAGCAGCAGCAGAAGCAACAGCAGCAGAAGCAACAGCAGCAGCAGCAGCAGCAGCAGCAGCAGCAGCAGCAGCAGCAGCAGCAGCAACAGCAGCAGCAGCAGCAACAGCAGCAGCAGAAGCAACAGCAGCAGCAGCAGCAGAAGCAACAGCAGCAGCAGCAGCAGAAGCAGAAGGAGCAGCAACCACAGCAGCAGCAGCAGCAGCAGCAGCAGCAGCAGAAGGTGCAGGCGCAGCAGCAGCAGCAGCAGCAGCAGAAGCAGAAGGTGCAGCAGCAGGAGCAGAAGGGGCAGCAGAAGCACCAGGAGCAGCAGCAGCAGCAGCAGCAGAAGCAACAGCAGCAGCAGCAGCAGAAGAAGGAGCACCAACCGCAGCAGCAGCAGCAGAAGGTGCAGGCGCAGCAGCAGCAGCAGGAGCGGAAGGGAGATGAGGTGGGGGCTGCAGGCTCTGCGGCAACTTTGGCTGGTGCCGTAAATGGGGTCTCAATGGGCAAAAGACAGAAGCAGCGCCAGCGGGCAGCGTTGAAATTGATGGAGTGGGAGGAGAAGAGGTGTCTGGACGGGAAGACGGAGTGGCCGAAGATTGGCAGTTTGGAAGGTGTGTCAGTGAAGGAGATGGACGATTACATCACGAGATATGCTCCGTACTTCGACAAGGTGATGGAGGAGAGGTGTGAGAGAAGGGAGAAGTTCCGCAGAGCCCAGGAGCGTGGGATCAATGTGGTTTTCGATCTGCAACATGATGAGTCGTTGATGACACAGGAAAAGAGGAGTTTCATCGGGCAGCTGACGGATGCATACGCGTTGAATTTGAAGTCTCAAAAGCCTTGCAAGATATGGCTGACGGCATGTAAAAATCCTCTTCCAAAGGAATACTCGTCGCAGGGAGTGAGTAGATGGATCGTTTCCAAGGACCAACGACCATACCACGAAGTATTCAAGACGAGAATTAGCGATCTGATCTATTTGACGCCGGATTCGCCGAAGACGCTAGAATATCTTGACGACTCCAAGGTCTATGTTGTCGGAGGAGTGCTTTGCAATACAGATTTAGAGGAAGCGAAATTGAAGAAAGCAAAGGAGCTTGGAATTGCCACGATGAAATTTCCTGTAGGGGAGGAACTGTTGCTGTCTCCTCTTAAGGTATATATCGCGATAATATCGGCTAAAAAAAAAAAAAAAAAAGAACAAAAAAAAAAAGGTATGTAGCGCTCAATAATATGCATTCACTGCCCAGGTTGTACTGCGCCGCCGAGAATTGGGAAGGCAGTTAAGGGCAAAAAATTGTGATGGATTATGTGTACGTGATGCATGACAGTAGCAAAATTACTCGTCATCATGCTCACTGGCCGTCTGGGGCCGCGTGCTGGCAGATGGTTGAGATGCACCGCACATGGTCGAGATGCTGGCAGATGGTTGAGATGCACTGCACATGACGAAAAATTCGGAGCGGGTGCACGTCTGGACCATCTGTCGACACAGTCGGCTCAGATGTGCGACCGCTGTGAATGTTTTGGTGATTGGCTGTGCATCTTAGCCGTCTGCACTCTTGTAGTTGGGCTAGATATGCGGCTGATCTTGAATTGGGCGCTCATGTAGGCTATCAGCTGGCTCATGGCCCAGATTTTCAGAGATGGACATTTGCATATCATTGGGCTAGATATGCAGCTGTTCTTGTATTTTCGTGATTGGCCGCTTAACTAAGCTATCGCCCGGCTCATGGCCCAGATCAACATTCGGTGGGCGTCTTGGAAAACCTCGCTGCGCGTGCAATGGTCGCGTTGCCTAGAGTACTGCCGTGTAGCAAGTGGTTGGTCCTGTTGGGTGGGAAACGGCCGTCCTCTCCCTTCGGTTTCTTGATGGTCATTATCGTGTAAAATTCGATCGCTGAGCACCCTAATTGCCAGTGGCATGTTGCCTCTCTCTTGCTCTCTCTGCCGCCCCCTCTTTCCCTCCACTCTCTCTCTCTGCCTTGACATTTTCGTCTTTCTGGGGACTCCTGCTTGCTGCCCACCACTGGCCGTCTTCGCCATCTCGATCAGCCGCCTGCCGCGGCAGAGAGAGAGAGAGAGAGTCCAAATGCGTGTAGAGTGTTGTGTAGTGGAGAGATGCGCCCATCGTCTCTTTGTGAGCTTTTGCATTCTGGCCACGATCATAGCACTATGTTATTTTTGCCCAAGCTACCGGGCTGTCTGGACCCAGATGTCGGGCCTCATGTATGGACCCTGACATATCGCCGAGCACCCTAATTGCCAGTGGCATGTTGCTTCTCTCTTGCTCTCTCTGCCCCCCCTTCTTTCCCTCCACTTTCTCTCTCTGCCTTGGCATTTTCGTCTTTCTGGGGACTCCTGCTTGCTGCACACCGCTGGCCGTCTTCGCCATCTCGCTCAGCTGCCTGCCGCAGCACAGAGAGAGAGAGAGAGAGAGAGAGAGAGAGAGAGAGAGAGAGAGAGAGAGAGAGAGAGAGAGTCCAAATGCGTGTAGAGTGTTGTGTAGTGGAGTGACGCGCCCATCGTCTCTTTGTGAGCTTTTGCATTCTGGCCACGATCAT